ACAGCCACCCAGCCACCCATCCGTCCATCTACCCATCTACTCATCCATCCACCCACCCACCCCATCCATCTACCTGTCCACACACCCACCCACTCATCCGCCTATCCACCCAGCCACGTTCCCACCCATCCACCCACCTACCCAGCCACCCAGCCATCCATCCGTCAATCCTTCCTTCCGTCCATCCACCCACTCCCTCATCTGTCTACCCACCCAGCCACCATCGGCTGTCCACTCACACACCCATGTCTCTCTCACCCATCCATCATGAAGCCTCTTCGTTTGCCAGGCTTTGTCAAGCAGAATGGATTCGCCATCTCCCACCGCTCCCCCCACTGGTGAATTCAGACCGTTTCAATGCTACCCCGATGTTGAGCTGAACACTGCCTCCCGAACTCTCTTCTGACCAAACTCAGGGAACAGAGGCTGCGTCTCCTCCCCTGGACAGCTCCTGGCACTCGCCAGGGGCCAGCAGATCAGGCGTTCAATGACTGCTCATCAACAGAAGAGAAAGCATCCCCCCAAGCAGAGAAGAGGTCAGGGAGAAGGGCCTGTGAACACAGCCAGTAGGCACAGGGCGGGGGCCTGTACGGGACCTGTCACACAGAGGCACATAGGTGGCCACCGTCATGCTGCCCACCCCACCCGGTTCTCCGCCCACCACCGCCCTTCCCTGCCCCACCCCCGCTGGGCTCAGGGTCACTCTGCGGCTCCAGGCTGAGCCACTGGGACTAGCTCAGGGTCACGGGCTGCCATGGAGCCGGGGTATCACAAGCACAGCGTATGAGGTCTGCCGTCAGGGCAGCCCTGCCAGCTAGGCACACCTGCGGACCCCGTGGCTGCGGTCATGGAGCTCCGGCCCCTGCCTGAGCACCTCCTACTCTCCTGGTGCAGAAGGGGGGCATGCCAGCGTGTAGGGCCCTGGCAAGGCTTCTAGCCCTGCTCAGGGAAGGCTCCTCGGCTACCCCTGCACTGGGGACCCTGCAGCAGAACGTGTGCACGTGTACACACGTGTGTGTGTGGAGTGCCGCTCAGACCTCGGGCTCTCGTGGGCTGGGTGACCCCGCTGCAGAGCGTGTGCACGTGTACACACGTGTGCGTGTGCAGAGTGCCGCTCAGACCGCGGGCTCTCATGAGCGGGGTGACCCCGCTGCAGAGCGTGTGCACGTGTACACACGTGTGCGTGTGCGGAGTGTCGCTCAGACCTTGGGCTCTCGTGAGCGGGGTGACCCCGCTGCCCAGCTCCAGGCTCTGACTGCCCAAACCAAGGGCCAACCTGAGGCCCTCTCCCCAAGTTCCCTGGGGCGCCAATGGCCGCATACGCGACAGCTGCTCTTCAGAGTGCGGTGAGGTTTCGGGCACGCCGGAGTCCCTGCCTCCTGCACATGGGGTGGACCAAGCATGGCGTGTGACGAGTGCCGAGAGGAAGCACGGGTCCGAGGACGGGCTCGCCAGGCAGGGCGGGGTCCAGTGGGAAGGTGCTCAGCTGGGAGAGCATCCCGGAGGGAGACCTGCCAGGTCTGGGCGCCTCGAGGCTGGGCAGGGCAGGGACTGGCTGCGGAGGGGCCCGGAGAGGGAAGTGCTCTGTGTGCCGAGGGGAAGGCAGGCCAGGAGGCAGCGCCTACGCACAGCAGGTGCTGGGGACCCTGTGGCCGCTTACCCCGCTGCTCCTGGCAGTGCTGGGCTGCTTTCACGCCTGGCTCGGCCCCTCTGCCAGAAGCCTGCACCACCCGGGCGGCGGGATGGGGAGAGCTCCCATCCCCCGGCTCTGACGGGGCCCAGCCCGACGCCCAGTTTCTGCCCAGCTCCCGGGGGACGGCCCCTGGGCTAGGCTCTGGTGGAGCAGGTGGCGATTCCTGACAAAGGGCAGATCTGGGGCCGGGAGCGGCAGGAGGGTGGTCTGGCTGCCCAGACTTGACCCCAGGTCCCCGGAGAGCTCTGCCCCGCCTGCTGCCTCCTGCCTCCTCTGCGTCAGCCCAAGCCCAGGGTGGCAGCCTCTGGCTCCCGTGGTGCTCCGTGGGCCACTCACTCCCAGGGCCACAGAGACCAGGCGAGGGACCCGCCTGCATACCGCCGGGCAGCGGTGGCTTTACTGGAACCGACGTGTGGCCCAGCCCCAATTAGTGGGTCGCCGTGCTCACACTGCCATTAGCTGGGAGCACAGTGCGGTCCGCGGGCAAATGAGCCCAGGCGAGCCGCTCAGGGCCGCTCGGGGCCGCTTGGGGGCAATTTCCTGCGGATACACGGCGTGCTGGCTGGGGAGGCTGCACGGAGACCTGACCGTTCGCCTCGGGTTCTATTTTTAAGACTTGGATTGAGCTTTCTGTCACCAATGTCCCTTGAGGCCATCTGTGCTCTGCTTCCCCCAAATCCGGGAAGCCCTGGGGGGTGGGAAGGTACTGCTGCCTTGGCGTCCCCACCCACCCCCTCCCAGGCCACATCGGGCACAGGCTCGCAGCCTGTCCGCTGCTTCCATCTGCGCTGACAGAGCCCCCCCAACTTCAGGGGTTTGAGATGACCCCGTGACGCACACGCTCACCCCGTGCCCCCTGAGCTGTCACTGGTCCCATGTCCCCTGCCATCCAGCTGGTTGCCACATCTTGGGCTCTCAGTCACCCGAGACCCCTGGCTGCTCCCAGCTCAGGCCTCGGGCCCACCTGCCTCCCACCCTGCCTCCTCCCAAAGCACCCTCCCGAGTCCCACCTCTGACCAACACTCCTTTCTCAAGGAGAGGCCAGGGCCCCCACAGCCCCTCCAGCCCGGGAACGTGCACCCCACCCTGCGGCCTGGAGAGGTCACTCTGAGGAGGCGAAGGTCCCCACTCTCTGAGCCTGAGAGTTAAAGGAGATTATCTGGACCTTCCTGAGAGTCTCAGGGCCAGGGAGAGGAGTCAGAGACCAGTCATGGCAGAGGCCAGGCCCCGGCAGGGAAGGGCGGCAGCCGCGAGGAGCCCGATCCTGCCAACGACCCGTGGCCGTGGAGACCCTCCTCGGACAGCCTGCAGCACCTCCTTCCAGCCTGGGGAAACCCCAAGGCAGGTCCGTGCTCCCACGCTCACTCCGCCAGCCGGGCCAGGGATCCCACCTGCTCTTGTAAACACCCGTGCTCTGCCAGGACTGCGGTGCTCCCTTCTCGGCTGCCTGCTCTGACACCCATCCTGGGAAGTAGGCTGCCCGTGAGCCCGCCCTGCCACCACCTGCCCACCCTGCCCGGTGAGCACTCCAGCCAACACCGCCCTGACCAGGACACAGGGCCGCAGCCCAGGGTGCCTGTGTGCCATATCCTCCCCGCTGCAGTCCCGCGGCCTGGAGGCTGGGATCTGGATCTCCGGGAGCTGGGAGCCTGGTCGGAGGTCACGCCTGACCCCGCCGCAGCCAGCACAGGCACAGGAAGGCCCTTCGCGCCCGGCTGCTCCCGACCTGCCTCTCGGCCCCCCCGAGGACCTGGCCGCCCCCGCAGCTCCTGGTGCTGTGCAGCCTCAGCCAAGACCCCACACGCCCACATGCACCCTCCAGCTTCCCCAGAAGGAGCCCGCACTCCCAGGCCCAGGACACGGCTCCTCAGCCGGGCCTCTCACAGGCCCTGGGTGACTCCCATGTGCTCAGGAACGTGCTTCGTGCATGGCTGACAAACAGCACCGGGGGCTCCCGAGGCCCCAACACAGCTGACCAGTCTCCCCCCAGCTGCAGCCCAGTCCTGGCCGGCCGTCCACCCTGCACTGCCCAGACGGCCTTTTCCGGGAGCAGGCTCCAGGCCGAGGTCAGCCGTGCAGGGGGAGCTGCCGGCGGAGGGCTGTGGCACATGCCCCGAGCCCGTCAGCCGCCCTTCCCGTGCACGGCCCGCAGCCACAGCACGCTGGCAGTGCCCGCTGCCCACCGGGTCTGGGACTTGAACTGTGGTCGGCCATGTGGGAGTCCAGCGCCTTAACCACCACGCCACCTGTCAACACCCCAATTTGAGGTTTTCTTCCTCATCCTGGACTCAGAAAGCCAAGAACGCACTGGCCCAGAATGAAACAATACATCGGTTTAGGGCAACGGCGCTCTGCCGATCCGAGTCACATTCCAATTCGTCTCACTGCGCTCCGGCTGCTGGACACACCCACGCGGGCTGGCTCCTCGAGCTGTTCCCAGGCTGCGGGAGGGCCCGCGGGAGGGCATGGAGGGGACGCGGGGATGCCGGGGACTGGGCAGGGCTGCTGGGCAGCTGGGGCGGGCGGGTCTTCCCAGCTGAGGGTTTGGAGAGCACCACACCCAGGTGCTGCCCGATCCCACCTGACTTTCCAACTAATCCCCTGTCCCACCCCTGCCTCGGACCACCCCACACACAGCCGTGATGGCCCCGCCCAGGCCAGGATCAAAGGGTTACTGGGGTGCACGTGGAAGGGAAAGGGCAAGCTCTCGTGCAGGTCAGGGCCCCGCGGCGAAGTCTGGCATCAGTGCGTGCCTGCTGCAGCGCCGAGAGCGCAGGGGCCGGGATGACCCAGCGCTGCGTGTGGGCGGCTGAGCGTGCGCGTGTGCATGCGTGCGGAGCTGCCGTGCAGCGCAGACCAGGGCCAGGAAGGGCTTGCCTGTGTTGCTGGGTGGACCCGACATGCAGATGGCACCCACAGAAGTGCACATGCCACCACGTCTAGGTCGGGACTGTCCCCCAAAGGGCCCAGACACATCAGTAAGGGGGACCCCCACCTGGGAAGGAGAGGACGGCAGGTGTTGTTCCAAACAAGTGTGTCGCGTGTGGGTGCGGATCGCTGAGCGGCGGAGGACAGCACGCCATCAGAGAGGGCATCTTCCCAGCCCTGAAGGCTGCTGGCCTTGTCCCGGGGCACAGGGCCCCCTGCCCCCTAAGTAACCCAGACCCCTCTCCTCCAGGGCCTGCTCACGAGTCCTCGGTGGCCCTGAGGGTGGGCACCTGGCTGCCAACATTAGAGCAGGACGCAGGGCCCACGCTGAGCACCCCGTGTGAGGGCAGGGCTTACTGACAGGCCTCCTGTATTCCTGGGGTGTTGGGTGATGGGTCCTGAGAGTCAGCTGAGGACACTGGCTCCGGGTCAAGGATGGACACAGGCCTGTCTGAGGTAGGGCCTCTCCCCTGCCCACATCAGAGGCAGACAGCGTGGGTCACAGAGGGATGGCCCCAGCCAGTCTGCACCCTGCAGGGCCAGGCAGGGCAGAGCAGGTGGCAGGCCCGCCAGGGCAGTCTGCTATCTGTCCTAGGAATGGTCAAAGTGCCCTGGCCGTGGCTCTGGGGTGCGCCAGACGAGATTCCTGCAAGCCCTGCGTACCCCAAGGATGCCCTGATCCCTCTCCCCCCTGCATGGCGCGTACCCCGGGCGCCTGCAGCCCCGCACAGGCAGGGGAGAAGGCCCCACCTGGCCAGTGCCACCACGCAGAAGGTGGGGTGTGCTGTCACCCAGATCTGCCTTCTGGCCTTTTTCTTTGTATTTTTTTTAATAATTATTTTATTTAGTTTGTTAAATTTATTTTAATCTTACAATAGAGGGACAGAGCAAGAGAGAGGAGGGAACGTGAGAAAGCAAGCTGCCAGGTCCGGGACTGAAACCATGGCTGGCCATGTGGGAGTCCAGCGCCTTCACCACCACCTGCCGGCCTCTTTGTATTTGTCAGTTTGCTAGAGGGCATGTGTGCTTGCTGCACAGAGCCGAAGAGAGGGGGAGTGAGACAGTGCCCCGTGGCGGAAGGCCACGGGCAGTCCCTGTTCCGAGGGTTCCCGATTCTGGGAACGCACGCACATGTACCTAGAGCGCGTGTTTTTTTGGGTTTTTTTTGGTTTTGGTTTTGGTTTTTGTTTTTGGAGAGGTTTTTGCTATAGGGCGCGTGCGCTCACCAGAAAGAGAGAGACAGAGAGACAGAAAGTGAGAGATCTCCCCCCCAGGGGGATGGCCACGCCGCAATCCCTTTTCCTTCATTCTCCTCTCAGGATCTTGGGCACGCACGTACACGCACCCAGCGTGAGTTTAAGTCACGGAGTTCAGGACTCCAACCACGGTTGACTACCTGGGAGTCTGGCGACATAGCCATTATACCAACTGCTGGTCCCCCTAGAGCATGGTTCAAGCCTTCAGGACCGGGACTTGAACCACACAGTTGGCCATGTGGGACCCAGATGCCTTAACCACCAGCTCATGGTCTTGCCCAGTCCTTCTCTTGGATGGCAGGAAGGTAGTATGTCCCAAGTCAGAAAGGGACCAAGCACTTGGTGACACTGGGCCAGCCTGGGCTGGGGAGAGGGTCGGACTCTGACCCCGAGGGCTTCCCACCAGACACCTGCCTTCTGTCCCTCCTGGAGGGGCTCCCGGAACAGCCTGGCCACACAGCAGAGGCCAGGAACACAAGCCCAGGCCACCCGGGCGCCGTCTCCTGCACTTCTCCTCGCTCAGTTGCCAAGCACAGTGGCACTGTCCCATTCATTGTCCCCTTCCTCTGCTAGCAGGGGACTAAGCAGCCCAGCGAGGGGGACAGCTCGCTGTGACCCGGGGGCCCATGGCTCTCACGCGGTGCACGGGGGTGCCCAGCTTACCAGTGGGAGCGCAGCACGTTCAGGAGGAGGATGGCACCACCCAGGAAGTAGCAGGCGAGGTGCGGGGACCGGAAGGCCCTGCTCAGCTTGCGGGTCCTGTGCTCCCAGCGGGCCACCTGGACAGCAGGCAGAGAGCGAGAGCGAGAGTGAGAGCGAGGCATTGGCGGGCGAGGATCCAGGGTGGCAGTGGGGAGGGAGCGAGGGTGTCCTGCGTTCCGAGCCCGGAGCCCCTAGTCCCAAGGATGGAGATGCCGGGAGCAGTTGCCACACCCACCCCGGTGGCAAAACCGCGCCTCAGGCTGATTCCAGGGGACCTCCGCCCCGGCGGGAGGGACGGGGGTCACAGAAGCAGCTCTCCAGCCAGACGCACCAGGAGCCCACCGCAACACGGGGGGACATCCCCGGCCGGACACGGGGCCTCTCTCTGGCCCTTCCTGGAGAGGCAGAGTCCCATGGGACACAGTCCCCGAGGGGCCACAGTGCACAAGGCAAGGGCAGCTCCAGTGGGCCCTCCGCGCTCAGAGCCGCCTGGGCCGGCTGCTGCACACAGGGGCCCACCAGGGAGATCCCTCGCCGCACCCCCCACTTGCCTGAGCACTCTCCCGAGGCACAGACTTAGAAATGTGGACATTAGGAACAGCATTATTTTTAGCACAGCAGATGGCATAACGGTTATGTTGCTGGACTCCCACCTAGTCAACCAAGGTTCGAGTGCCAGACCTGGTGGCTTAAACTCAGGCAGGGCGCGTGTGCGTGCGTGCCCAAGATCCCGAGAGGAAAACGGAGAAGGGACTGTGGTGTGGCCATCCTCCCGGGGTGACTTCTTGCTCTCTGTCTCTGTCTCTGTCTCTGGCGAGCGCGCACCATCCACTCTTCAGACGCTCCCCTTGGGGCATAGAACCTTTTCCCCCCAAGCCCCAGGCCCAGGACTCAAACCTCACAGTCGGCCATGTGGGACGCAGCTGCTTTAACCGCCGTGCCGCCCGCTGGTCCACACACACTCTTATTGATTGATTTATTTTCACGAACCTCGTCTGGAACCTCAAAGTCGGCCGCCAACGGTGGAGAGGAGCTGGCCGGCGGCCGCCCGCCCCCGTGGCTCCACCACCGCAGCTTCCCTGCCCTGCGAAGGCGGGGGCTCTGGGCCAGCTGGGTACCCCGGGGAGCGCCAGGCCAGCGCTGGGCAGTGGACGGGGGACAAGGGAGGACACAACGAGGTGAACACACGGCCCCGTCACGTGAGCCCGTGAGCACATTCGCACACCTGCGCGTGCTAGGGGAGGGTGCAGCCGCGCCTCTGCTGGCCGCCTCGCCACAGGCCCGCCTTCCCCTCCCCTCCCGGCAGCTGTCAACAGGACGGCGCTGCCCTGGCCCAGCCCGTCTCCTGGGGTGGCGGCGGAGCTGCAGACCGGGCTTACAGGACAGAGGAAGCAGGTGAGGGAAGTGGCTCCGGGCCTTCCCTGGGCTCTCCCTTTGTCCAGGACCAGCAGGTGCCCGCCGCGGACGCCGTGGGAGGCTCCACAGGGCTCTCAGGAGCAGGAAGGACGCGCACTTGCTCCGGGGCTGGGGGGCAGCCGGCAGTGACCGCGAGGGGGTCCACCAGGGAGGGGTGCCCAGGACGCGGACTGCATACCCCTCACAGCCACTTCGGGTTTGTGTTTTTAAAGTTGATTTATTGGGGCTGGCAAGTGGAGTGGTGGTTAAGGCACTGGACTCCCACATGGCCAACCACGGTTCAAGTCCTGGACCTGGTGGCTCTCTTTCTCTCTCTGGTTAACTAAATAATAATAATAAGTTAATAATTCTAAACAAAAGTTAAAGTTTACTTATTTCTCTCATGAACAAGAGACAGAGACAGAGGCAGCACCCCCAACAAGGTCTTCACGCCACGAACCCGGCCTCAGTCGGCCCCGGATCATGGGCACATGTGCCTGCCGTGCTCAGGAAGTCTCAGACGACAACCGGGTGGACCCCTATGCACCCCCCAGCCCTCTTCTAACTTCTGCGACAGAACTCAGAGTGAAGCCTCCCCCCTCCCCGCACTCGAGCTCCCCGATCTTGGGCGTGCACGCAGCACCTGGCATGCTTTCAGGCCAACCCAGGGATGTGCCGGGGCGGGCCGTGTGGCTTCCCGCACTGCAGTTCAGGCCGTTTTGACGGAACTGCTGGCAGGGCTGGACGGTGCTGTTTTGATGGGCCGCTGTGTTCTGCCTTCTACGGCCCAACCCGACAGCACCTCCCTCCCTCCAGTGCCTG